TTGGTTAATTGGCTTCTGGAAAAACTGACCTTAGATAGATAGATACTTTATTGATCCTGTGAGGGAAAGTGCAACAGCACAGACACAGTGTAACGAATGATACAATAATAATACAATACATACAATACAATCAGTACAGTGAGAAGTGCACTAAGACAGTCCAGAACACACAAAGAACAAATCAGAACAGAACAGTACACAAAAAAGTCATATTGCACAATAGAACTATAAATATAAATGTATGGCACAGGTCCCTGGCATATACAGTATTGCAGAAAAATGGTTTTAAATGGGAAAAGAAAAAGAACAGATGTATCAGTTTACTGTTCAGTCCAGAAACAGGTCACTATCAATGTTGCCTCTGCCCAGACGCAAGGTGGATGCGTTGTACAGTCTTATGGCAGAAAGCAAGAATGACCTCCTGTAGAGCTCCCTGTCGCACCGTGGATGAATCAGTCTATTGCTGAATGTGCTCTTCATTTCTACAAGCATGTCTTAGAGGGGATGGGAGACGTTGTCCATGATGGCCTCTAGTTTGGACACCATTCTCCTCTTAGCCACTACCTCCAGGGGGTCCAGGCCAGACCCAATGACAGAGCTTGCTCTCTTGATAAGCTTGTTCAGCCTGTTAGAATCCATTGCTCTAATCCCAGAGCCCCAGCATACCACCGTGTAGAAAATGGCGCTCGCCACTGACTGATAGAACCGACTGATAGACTGATAGAACATATGTAGCATTTTACTACACACGTTGAAGGACCTGAGCCTCCTCAAGAAGTAAAGTCGGCTCTGACCCTTCTTGTAAATGGCCTAGATGTTCTTAGACCATTCCAGTCTATCGTCGATGTGCACTCCCAGGTACTTGTACGAGTCCACCATCTCCACGCCACTCCCATGGATGTAGTAGGTTGGACCCTCTTCCTCCTGAAGTCTATCACCAACTCCTTAGTCTTTGCTACATTCAATTGCAGGTAGTTCTCCCCACACCACTCCACAAAGCTGCTGACCAGGCCTCTGTACTCTTCCTCCAGCCCACCCTTGATACATCCCACAATTACAGAGTCATCTGAGAACTTCTGCAGGTGGCATGACTTTGAGTTGTATTTAAAGTCCGAGTTATAGAGGGTGAAGAGGAACGGAGAAAGAACCATCCCCTGAGGAGCCCCTGTGTTACTAACTACCTGTTCAGACACACAGTTCTGAAGTCTCACAGACTGTGGTCTGCCTGTCAGGTAGTCAGTGATCCATGAGATCATGGAGGCATCGACTTGCATCTCCTCCAACTTCCTCCTTAGAAGTAAGGGCTGGATGGTATTGAAGGCACTGGAAACTGGAAGTCGAAAAACATAATCCTTATGGTGTTGCCAGCCTTGTCCAGGTGTGAGTAGGCCCTTTGCAGCATGTAGATGATTGCATCCTCCACACCAACACTGGGCTGGTAGGCGAACTGTAGGGTGTCCAGTGATGAGCTAACCAGGGATCTCAGGTGCGATAAGACCAGCCTCTCCAGTGTCTTCATGACGTGAGAAGTCAGTACAACTGGTCTGTAGTCATTGAGGATAGAGGGGTGCCCTTTCTTTGGTACCAGGACCAGGCATGATGTCTTCCAGAGCACAGGGACTTTCTCCAAGTTTTGAAGGAAGACAATATCAAAGTTTGGCTTGAAAAACAAATGTTGAATTAGCCCAGTTTATCAATACAAATAGTCTCCCTCCATCACCTCCCCTCACCCAACTAATTGAAGTAAAAATCTCTTCTAATTAATTAACTGTAATTAACTGTTTAACGTGAAAAATGTAAACACACTAAAGTACAAAATGTTCATTTTCATTGATTCAATAATGTAAAAATTTACTTTTTTAATTGATTCAAAAATCAGTGTAAAAAGTACCTCACAACTTCATTAGAATTCCATGAAATTCCATGTGAAGCACAAGAAACAATGAAAATGGAGATTGTAATAATGCAACTTTAGTTATAATGTATCCTGGATCCCATTAAGTATTACAACACGGTAAAATTACAGAGCAGTGACTCTAGTAGGATGCAATTACTTTCTGTTTTATATTTATAATATATTTATGAAGATCTGTAGAATGTTGTTTTTATTTTGGCAATATAGTTTTGTGTCTGTTTTCTGTTTGTTGTACTTATTAATGTTCCTTTTAATTTTTATTTTAATTCACATCACAGTTCACACTGAACATTAAATAACAAGTCAAAAATTGGACATAAACAACACAATTGTTTTACCACTGCTTAGAGGTCTGCATATGTTTCACTGGTGAAAAGTGGAACCAAAGCATAATCACTAAACCAATGCATAATGAGTTATTATAAAATTTATAATGAGTTATTATAAATACATAATTCTGAGAAGTCGGTCACAAGTTTATCAATTTGTGAAGAATACAATCATATAGTGACAGTTGTAAAAATTGTAATTTGAAACCCATTACCCTAATGATATGCTAAGGTAATTTTATTTTCTAAAAATATCAATAACATATTAAGATAATAAGCTAATGTTTTTTTTTTACTTTGGTATTGAGATGTTCACAAAGGAAAAAAATGCACAATGTAACATTTTCTTTTTCTTAAAAATACAGGTTATCACTGCTGTCAGATATTCATCGTGGGATCCTACACTGATATTGCACAGAGGTAGGTACTGTATACAAAACCTGAGAATGCCTACATTATTATGCTGTGAGATATATGAATTTACTTGAAAATGGGCAAGGATGAATGAAAAAAAAATGCTTTGCTAACGTAATCCTGAGTTATTATTAGATAGCAACAACAGGCAGACTTAAAAATATTTTCAGAGCTACAGTACACAGCACCAGCTTAACAGAAAGATTCTGAAGTTCAAATTAATTAGTTTTTTCCTTTTCATTCTCAAATACACTCAATATGCCCTTTTTGAAACATATTTCCTGGGGAATAAACAAGGGTATTAATCTTTGTTGAATTTAAAGATGATGGGGTTGAGCTCTAAGATGCCCTTCTCATTCTGATTCTTTGAGCCTGACACTCACTGTACAGCAGGGGGACTCTTGCAGAGCAGAGGAATGCGATTCTGAAAATGACCACTATAGTCCATAAAAACACATGGCTCAAATATTGCTCCTATGAGCACAATTAAAAAAAAAACTTTTGCCAATGTTTTCCAATATTTGAATGGTTTGCAAATTAAGGTCATAATTGAATTATGTTATTTCAAATGTTTTTTGCAACAGTCTTATTGATGGAAATGTCACGTTCCACAGTAATATGAAAAAAACAAAGTTAAAACATTTCTCAAAAGAATGTCTTCATAATTGGAGTGAGATCTAGAATTTGTGTAGGCAACGGGGCTACCATATATTTGGTAAGAAATTATACCATCTATTAAAGGTATGTAAATTTCATTTTGTTATTGTTAGAAAGAAAGTGACAAAAAAAGTAAGAATGCATAATCCTGGAAAACATTTCCAAATCTGCTAGTCCAATAATTTTGCTTTGACAGCCAACGAAGACATTGGCAAGGGTCTCATACAACAGCCATACAAAACACAGTAGGAGTGACTAAGTCAATTGAAAGTTGCAAGTGAAAGAATCTAAAACTAAATTGAATTGCCATTTTATGCATTTGAGATGTCTAAGGGAGTGTTGTCCTTGAATCTTAAATGTCAGTCTCCATATGGTTGGAATAAGTGATATTTGAATCAATGGCATAGCAACACAATGTAATAATGTAATGTATGTATTATGTATTCATGTATTAACATAATTGCAACCACTACTGTTTCCACTAAGTATATTTTTAACAAAATATAGTTAGTGATCCTAACTCTGGGCATAGACAGCCATATCTCTGTAGGGTTTACAGGAAATGTAAACTCCTATTGACTTGAAAGCCATTACAATTAAGAACAATTAAGACCATAACTGGTTTGCTTATTCCATCAGGAAGTCAAGTAGAATGAAAAGCAGAAGACCCTGAGAACCAAGAGCGACAATCATCACTGTACGCTAATGAGGGCTCAAAGAGTTCATTGTGATTTTCACAAATACATATCCCAGTAAATCTGAGTATACCATGATATTCTACAGTACAGTATATCTTATCCCAAAACCTTCTCACAACTCTAATATTAAAAATAACCAAATTTGTATGCATAAATTGTTTTAGTTTTTTTCGTGTGGACTGTCTATTTAGGGCAAAAGTTGAAAATAAAATAAAAAACAGAATTTGGCAGCATAAAGTTACACCACTAAAAGTCACATAAAGACTGGAAGCAATTTTGTCCCATACTACAATTATTACAATTACAAAACTTAAAAAACGTAAAATTTTCACATTCCTAAAATATTGTTAATATTCATAAGAATATAAGATGTAACTGAAAGAGCAATGAGTTATTGTATTCTATATAGCAAAATATGCTGAAAACAAAGCTTCTTTTCATATCTGGAAATGTTCCATATCATACTCAAACTATTCAAGATAACAAATGCAATGTTATTTAGAAATAATGTTATAATAAACATAATGTTACTACACTTGACATTTTTAAAATAGCTCTTCTTAGTATTTTTTTATCTCTTTGTATCAGGGAGATCTAAACTGTTTACCAAATGGAATATACTGTATAGCAAGGGCAAGAAGTATACAAATGACTAAATTACTAGAACTAAAATCAATGACAATAATACAGAAGACTAACTCAATTTTATTAAGAAATTAGAAAAGGACATTAAGAGTTATATTCTGAAACTGACATTACATTACAGACATTAAAAAGAATTTAAAGTGGTTTACCAGAGAAAAATACACATTTCTTTTTGAGACAGGACAAGACTTGAGAAAGTGTGGTACAGTATTTCCTATGCAAACAGAGATGTCTGTGAGGCTAACAGAGAGGCGCTTTCAGGTAACAACTCAGTCTTTATAGTAGCAGTGGGAGGAGCCAGGCTCTCCGAGCCTCCACAGAAGATACAGTTACAGAGATCAGTATGCTTGCTCAGTCTGGGGCACTCTCTCGTCAAACTCAGGGAGCGAAATGGCAATTAAAAAGTGGAGAGCTTGCTTTGCTATGGGCATGGGAAGGTACTTTACTGACACTCCACAGTGGAATTAATCCTGTGAAGGAAAAGGAATTGAGAATCGAAAGGAGATGTTAGGCTTCCTTATTTTGTGTAAGAGGAATGCCTGAGAAGGATTTTCTTGAGGTAAGCAGAGCATGTAGTGTGTGACTGGGTGAGCAGTCTTGCAGGACTGTGGGGTTGTTGTGGCTGATCCTGGGACACAACATGAATGCATGTAATCGTTGTTCTTATGCCAGCTTCTGTATAAATACACTCCTTGTCCTGTTTTATTTTAAGCCTCTATATCTTATTATCTTCAAACTTATGCAGCTAGGAAAACAGCCTTACATTTTAAAGTTGCCATCCAAATTCAGAACTGCTAGAAAACAATTTGTATAAAATGGATATAGACAGCTAATAGAAAAGGTATAACTGAGACTTAGTTTAAATTCTAAATTAATGGTGTAAGATTGGAGTTAAAAGGTGAATACCTGTATGTCTTAGAAATCAGCAAAATGTTTTTTGAAATGCCTTTTATCTGTTTGCATATTTAAACTACATATACAGTAAATAGTTTAGTCAGAGATACCAATGGATTTTACACACATTATTTAGGACACTTAAAATATTATGTATCAACATCCATGTGTATATATAAAGCATATTTAGAGACACAAAAAATCTGTCTAAGATGTTTTTCTTAGATAGGATATATTTTGTAAAATATGCTTAATGTCTACAGCATTGGGAGTGTGATTAGAATTTAATTTCTTAAGCTTCAACATTTCCACAATCTATTAACTGCTAAACAGCCATCTTTAGACTGTATTTTAACCATACAGTAGCATGTTTTTAAAGATTTGTGTACATACAAACTGATTTTCCTGACTAAATGTGTACACATCAAAGCTTGTTGTACAGAATGAGATATTCCTGTCTCTGCAAAACTGTCAATTGTGATTAAGGACTAAAGATATTGGCAGAGGAAATTTTATCCATCTCCCCTCCCTCAACTTGCCAAGTTTTTTTCAAGATGCCTTGGATATAAATAAATTAAAAGCAAGTGCTGTAACAATGTCTGCGAACAGTATTTGAAGGCCATTTTCTGGTGAGAAAGGACGACAAATTCTTCCCAAAGGACATCTAATTGCTCAACACTCTAGGTTAGTCTTGACTTATAGTAACTGAGGAGACATGCTGCTTTTAGAGCAAATCTCAAGACAAGCTATCAGAGTGATCAGAGTTCTGTCTTTAGATAAAATTCTTTCTGAATGGGAATTAAGAGATTAACAGTCCTGCAAGCTGCAAATCAATAAAATATACTTTATATATAACATATATCCTCTGGCTTTTTTGTTGACTTGGGAGTGACAATAACTGCTTAGATTGGTACCTTTCCACAGTACAGAAAAATAATAAGAAAAGGTGTGATTAAATTTGCTAAATAACATTTCTTTCTTTATTCAAGATTTTCCTGTAAAATATATGGGATTTTAACTTCCTTTAGCTCTTTTCTTGAACAATTCTGTCATTGGTTGCCTGTTTACTTATCTGTATGCTTGTCTATCTGCTGAATTCATGTGGCTAACACTGCATGTTGGTATTTCTGACAGTACGTGCCAAATTGCTAGCTGGGTATTCAGGTCATTTGGCCTAACTAGCCATTGCACTTAAATCATTCTCTCTATTAGTGTAAACCTGACCCCCCGTCACAGCCTTCAAAACACAGCCCTCAGCTCTCTTGGTAAAATATTAAGTAGTCTCCCGTGGAGGAGCTGACAGCCTGCATTTGTGTCTGGTTCAAGTTTCCAGTTACCTCCACATCGCATCATGATAGACAGAGTTATTGTTTTGACAGTTATTCTCTCTTTTGCACTGGATCTTTCTTCAGCCACGGTGCTAATTTGAACTGACTCACTGGCTTGTTTTCTAGGTCTTAACCTGGACTCTAGGCTTTGTGGATCATTGACATATATTCATAGTCTTATTTGGCTGCATGTCATATAGTCCATGTTTGTAGATTATGCAGCCTTGACTAAAATAGCAAACATTTGGATTCCTTTCGATAAACCGTAAATGTTAAATATAGTCTAAATCACTGCATATGTATTGACATGAAAGTTTGAGTCACATGTGGAATAGATATATTTCTCTGGCTACTTTTCCTCATATTTACATCATTAGTGTGAACACCATCTCACAAAATGTGAGACTGGAACATGCTTTGCTTACAGACCACAAAAATGTTCGTCCGGTCAACAAACTAGTGTTGGTTCTTTGTACAGACCGTAGTACTGTATATCCTTACCAATGCAGCAAAGATATATTATTAATTACAATAATACTGTACGTCCATCAGCCAATATCATTGGAGTTGTCACCCACTTTGTTATGGCATTATTAGTGCAGTACTGCCTGAATCACATAACCAGATAATGGTGGTGAAGTCATTTAGTTGAATTTATTCTGTTCTGTAGGTCTGGAATGATCATGTGTCTTTGTATCAGCTGGCAACACTGTTGGAGGTTACTGATGGTGAATGGAAGTATCCTAGTAGCTCCATGTTGTAACATTTCTAATAGCAGCATGCTCAGAGTGTAGTCCCTCTCTTTCACTGAGTTATGTCTTACACTGAGTAGTGTAGTGCCATTTAAATCATTACATCTCTGATGTTATGAATTAATGTTTATCTAATGTTTTCCATTAGTAAATATAGCAGCCAATCAGTATTCCTGAGACATGTAATAAATGAAATAAATGTGAAATAAATAAAGGAAAGTTTTGGTATACAATGTATTTTAGTGTTTAAATACAGAATTGTAGCTTTCTAATAAAGACTGGAAACAGAATTGTGGGGAGGAGAATAATATATTTTGTCTAACAATATACCAACATAACATTCATCGTCCACTGGAAATCTGCTTATTCTTGTAACAGCCCAAAGTCAGAAACAGATGGCACAAAATAGGACTGCACCCTGGACAGGAAGTCAGTGCATCAGAGGACTTAAACTCCCACCATTACATAAATTACACTTACCAATTCAAAGAAAATCAACATACAAAATTGCACCAAAACAATTACCCATCTATACAGTGTCAATTATACAATTAAACAAAAACAAAAGGGCAGCGAGATGGCACAGGGGTTAACTTGGGGTGGAGTGGTGGCTCTGTGGCTAAGGATCTGCGCCTATGGCTGGAAGGTTGCTGGTTCATATCCCGCAGCTGGCAGAGGAATCCTACTCCATTGGGCTCCTGAGCAAGGCCTTTAACCCCAACTGCTCCAGGGGTGCTGTACAATGGCAGACCCTGTGCTCTGACCCCAGGCTCTCTCCCTATCTGTGTGTCTCATGGAGAGCAAACTGGAGTATGTGAAAAGATCATTCCTAATGCAAGAAATTGTAAAGGGTTAATAAAGTAATATTAACATTTCTGCCTAGTAGCACCAAGATGCTGGTCTCAATTACAAACTCTGTGGGGAGTTTGTAAGTTGTCCCTGTGTTTGCATGGATTTCCTCTAGGTGCTCCAGTTTTGTCCCACAGTCCAAAGACATGCTGGAGTGATTAAACTGACATGCTGACTAGATGAACTGGATTCTGTAAAACTGGCCCTAATATGTGTTTGTTTGTGTCTGTGTGTGCCCAGCAATGGACTGGCATCCCAGCCAGAGTGTATCCCGCCTTGCAACCGTCACTTGCAGGTTTAGGCTTCGGCTTCCCCCGCAATCCTGGACAAACCAGTTTAGAAAATTGATTGAAGAACAATAACACAAGTACAATTACACTTACATCATTTAAAACGCACATGTACAGTATACAAATACAATTTTTTGCATAGTGATGAACAACAGTTACAACTTTTAACAATTCAAAAAAAGTTTTGGGATTGTTGCTTGTTGGAAATTATTTTGGATTTTGTAATGCTTCAGAAAGACCAAACCAGTGCAGTGTTCACCTAATGTAACCAACATGTTTGTCAAACAATTTGTATTTTACATTTAGTACCAATTTGTACACATACTGTACACCCTTTATCTCTGCCCTTTTTCTATGCTTTAACTTGTTCTTAATCCAAATAAAAACATGTATTTAAATTCCTACCGAATGCAATTTAAGAATGAATATACTATAAGGGACATCAAAAAGTCTTCTGAAAATCTAAATATTACATTCCATAAAAGTGTTTATGTATGCTAAGTTCTTCAGTCTAAATGCTCCATTTAATGTACAGTATAGTGCTTTTTCCCCCAATCTCTACCTTTGATACCTTTGATTTTTCCCTTATTTTTTCCTGGATTCTCTTTTTGTCTCTATGCCCATTGTATCTCCCTGTTTGGATATAGTTCAGATTCTTCCTCTTTCTATTCTATTCTTTTGCAGTGCTCATATATGCTGGTATGCTTGAAAACAAGCTCAAAAGGCTCCAGGATTTTCAAAATACTACAGCCAAGTTCTTGGTTTATACTCATCTTTCAAAGGTACTGTAGCAAATAATATGAAAAAAAATGAAAATCTTCATACTTCCAGGAGCTATTAAGTTCATACCTAATCAATCATTGAGATCTGTCTGTTTCCAGTCAGACTGATTCAGGGCTCTCAGCTACTACTGCTCCACATTTCTGGAACTCCCTTCCAAACCATGTGAGAAATGAAATTGTTTTTTATGGAAGTAGAGTTGTATTTTTCTTCTCATTTTTAAATATACTTTCATGTCAGTTCTTTGTCTGGGTTGACTTTGTCAGTGCCTTTTAACAATACCTGTATCAGGTCCCCTTGTATCGTTCTTCATTCAAGACAAAAAAGATTCAGATGGTTCTGCTTGTCAATGTCTTTTCCATATGTGATACCTACTATTGTAAATGAAGCTAACATTGTGTTTGAAATTTGTAACGCTCCCTGCATTATCCAGAAGATATTTATGATGTTCAACATAAACACCTGTCCTTTTCATAAGTAGCCTCTTATATCTCAGTGTTACCCATTTTGTATTTATAGTTTCTAATCTTGCTCCTGCATTGTGGTACTACACCACAAAAGATGCCTGAAAATCTATAATAAAATTAGAAGGATGTCATCAGCCCATGGGGACTTATTAGTCCTGACTTCATTCTAGTACCCTAAAGACTTGTACCTTTTCTATGC